AGAAAAAACACAGACATGATTTGAATGATTTCAAATCCTTATTAAACATTGTTATCCTCCAGGCTGACTGACTGACATTCTCACCACAAAGACTTTGCAAAGAAACTGGACCTACACAGTTTTGCCTTCCAAGGCTGATCTGTAACTGTACGAGGGGTTTGCACGTGTGTGTGTGTGTGAGTGTGTGTGTGTGTGCTGCAAGTCCATTTTATAAGCACAGACACAGGACGGTTCTCATTGGCAATAGTATTTGGAGTCCAATCATGCAGAAGAGCAGGCAGGTGCAAGTTATGTCCCAATGCAAGATGGACATGGCAAGGTGAACAGGTAATGCAGGACAAGGGTTGGGAGTTTTGTTTCCATTAGACTGTACTGGCCATTGGTCCCACATAATGGAAAGTTAGATACACGGTGTCCATATATAAACAGAAGGCTTCCACTTCAGGATGACTGACCAAAGAAATGGATCAAAGTCAACCACTTTCAGGCAGTTAAAGAACTGTCTACGTGCCCAAAGAGATAATGAAATCTTACATTTTAGTCACATGGAAAATAACGAATAGAACTATTTACACTGTAACATTTTTGCTGTTTTTACAGAAAGGAGTTTCCCTGTTTGGTTTAATAATGCATGTGAAAAATGTTGGACTTAACGATTAAAATGGGTAGAGGATAGTCATGAGTGGAGAGAGGTCTTGCTCTTCAGACCCAAAGGGCTGAGATCAAAATTCCTTAGAGCAATTTTACTCTCCTCTTTGAGCTTAGAAGATACATTTTTCAACAAAACTGACTGACAACATTCTTTACAGAGCATAATGTTTTTGAGATATAGATGGTCATATGTTAAGAGAATTCAATGAAAACAAATTTTGTATAATTTAGATTTTTGCAATGAATATTTAAAATTGTAAAACTCAATTTTGCTTATCTTCCCCCCCCACATGTCATGAAAGGACTTAAGTATTCTCATCTCTTCTTATTTCATTCACTGAAGCTAGAGTCCTGACTTACCAGTCAGCTGTGATCACTTTCTTTAGATAATATTTTTCTGATAATGGTAACAAATTGAGAAAAACTGTCCAGCCCTTTGGCCCTCAATTAGGTATATCACTTCAACCATGGGAATTGGCCAGGCCCTGGTCCAACTGTGGGGACATTCCCACAAAGCTCGATCATCAGATTCTTGAAGATGAAAGAAGATTATTAGCTTTTATTTTGTAAGAAAAAGTCCTATTGTAAGGCCAATGTATCCCTTTTTAAAGTGAACATACTGACTTACAATACACATAGAAAAATAGCAAAGACAGAGCTAAAGTGGGGGTGCATTTGCCTAACTCTCACAATTCAATTCTTCTTATACATGGGTACAGACATCCCTTCACAAAATACTACAAGACGCTTTATTAAGGATTACTGAGTAACCCACAGCAAGTAAGAGAAGGTCAGGCTCTTCGGAGTGCCAGCTTCATGTTGCAAAATGAGCCCCAACCACAGGAAGGTCCTGAACTTTGTCAAGAATATCATCCAGGTGATTTGACACGTGCCTGCCTGAAAAAAGCATCTATTGGCAGTAACAGGAAATATGGGGGGGGGGGGTTTAAGAAAAGAAGACTCAATGCAGAACGTAATATACGGTCTCTGAAGCGGATCACATGATCACCTCCTGAAGACATAACTGGGCCCGCGATCATGGAGCACAGGTGGGATTTTAAAGCGGGGATTTGCTTTGTTGTCCTATCACCTCACTTTGGTCACCCAATAAAATTAATTCTGCAAGACGCCTGGAGGCCAACCCCTTAACTTCGTTTGTAAATGATACTTCAGTCTGAGCAATTTATTCCACCTTTTTTTCTTGCCCATAAGGAAGATTTAACTCAAGGTTGTGATAGAAACCCAAAACTAGTTGCATTTAGGAAAAGTAGTGATCCCAGGGAAGGGCATTGTCTACTTCTCACCTGATTTGATCTGCGTGGGGGGAAAAGCACCACTTCTGCAGACATGGGAGAGTCTAACTGCCCAGCACTTAGACGCTGGCTGCGATCTCCAGCTTGCATTGTCATCTTGCGGCTGATGCATTTCCCCTGACTCACTTTTTTTAAGCACCTCGCTTCTCTCTGTGCTTACTCCCATCTGGCAGTGAAGTGGAGTGAAGAGACCACAGGTACATCAAGAGGAAAGTACAGAGAAAGGAGATAAGTAAAGAAGGAAGAATACAGAGAAGTCACAAACAAACGAACAACAGGAATAATGACAGAAAGCAAATGAGAGAGCCCGTGTGAATAAAGAGGCATTTTCAAGCCAGGTTGTCATATTAATCAAGAAGAATGGTAGCAAGATAGAGAAACTGGGACATTTTTATTCCAGGGGCCAAGCTGCATGATTGACTGTTTTTCTCTCCATTCTAAGCAAATCACGTCTTGTTCTGAAGCCTGCTGTGTGAGGCATAAATGGCAGCATTGCTGCCTGGCCATGGCGGAGGTGGTTGCGGTTCCCTGTGGACTCTGTCTCTTGGAGAAGGCAGAACTTCCCTGTCACTGTATTTAAGGCAGTTTTCAGAGCACTGGCCTTGTTTGCTCTAGTGAGGGGACCCCGTTTGCCGGTCGTATGACACTGATCAACCACCATGTCACATTTCACTTCTTCAAGTGAAGTATCACCACACCGGTGAGCACCAAAATGGTCAGAGTGCAAATCACTGCGATGGCGCTGTCACCAGATGGGTAAGAGAGGCTTAGCCCCGGTACGATTATTGCTGGGAGTCATCCTGGTATGGCCGTGTATAGAACCAAGATGTTTCACAGTGCCTCCGTCAGTGCTTGCGGAAGCACTTTCATGTAAGTCAAGCTAAATTCAGATGATTTTGCTAAACATTGGCATGAATGCTTCATGGCTTTTAAGACAAACTTGTATTGCTAACGCTACTTAGCAGCAGTAATGGATGGGCGGGTTATTGCTCTCACATCTACTGCAGTACAAAATTCGGATTCTCAGCCCTTCGTAGATTGTTCACATTCATGACTCTACATCAGTAAATAGGAACCCCAGCCATATTTAAGGGGTCAGGGGATCCCCTGAGAAATAATAATGTCTGTAGAGATGATTGTAAGTCCTAACCTGAGAACTGCCCTGTGCTTTCGGAGTTTTATTTTAATTAAATTTTTAATTCCAGAAGAGGGAGGCAATGTTTCTTCTCAAATCAGAGTATGAACCTGGGAAGCAGTCTACACGTGTAAAACACAGCCCACAATCTAGAAGTCATCTCGGCTGGCTCATTTTCTCTTCAGGAAATTATACAAAATCAATTCTGTTCTGCTCCAAGGAGGAATACTTACTGTCAGATATGTCCACAATAACCTACCGCACCACCTCCCACTCTTCCTACTAGCCTCCTGTTGTGTCACATAATTTGGAAATGCAAATGCAGTCTAACTTTAAAACATGGGTGTTGGTGTCTCTGGGTATCTGGGACTCTTAGTCCACATTGCAATACTACTCTCTAGGCTGTCCTACCTGTACACTGGCAAAGAAAACACCCTCAGCCTTTGGCCACATCTTCCTTCTAACAAGCAGCCCCTCTGCACCTGAGAACTGATACCGCCCCCACCACTGTCCATAAGCATCACATATGTTCTCTCTACAGATTGGTATACAGGTGCCATTTAATCAGTTCAAATTTGGAAGCTACATCTTCAAGGGTCCGAGAGAGCTCGCTCCCCCCATACTTCCCCCCTTTACATGTTTTCTTATAGGACATACATCTTAATCAATTAACAAACTAGACAGCTTATATACTGGCAATATATTACAGATGGGTTTATGTCAGAGTAATAGATCACGTGAAATGGACCATGTGGTACCCCAGTGCGTGACGTCTTGGGAGAGCCCTGAGGACACTGACAGTAGCATCTCTAAGTAAGTAGTGCTGTATGAATACAGACACATGCGGATCTGTATCTACATCCATCTGACTAGGCCGAAAGGAGCAGGTAGATGCAAGATAGAGACACACACATGCTGGATGGGGCCATTGCACACCTTGGCATGCCATTTGAAAGGGCAGTTACAGGTTGCTGATTTTGCAGCCATTAAAATTACACTTTATGGAAAAGGCTTCTCTAATTGTGTTTGATTTGCTTTCTGTAGTAAGCATCATTGGAAGAAGACCAAAGCAACTAGGCATTAAACATACATTGGAGCTGAGCTTCAATACAGAGCTCAGAGAAGCAGCAGGCTGAAAGATTTGTTTCAATTTTAGGCTCGGATTCTCTCCCTTGCTGTTTTCTTGACATTGCGTGTCTACGTTTGTGTGTGTGCGTGAGTGTCTGCATGTGTGTGTGTGTGTGTGTGTGTGTGTGTGTGT